GTACTGATCACCAGAAAGCAGCACTTACTCAACAAATACTTGACTACCTACTGTGTGTCAGGCACTGTGTTGGGTACCAAGAACAAGTAATACCACATGGATCCTTTTGATAAGGTGTTTCTGGGGAAAACTATACTCCTGGTACCTGGATTTCAGCAAGACAAATTAATACTCATGATATCATTATAGGTAAAGCAGAAAAATGTGCCGGCCTATGGCACAGTAAAAACAACCTGAAGAGTCAACGGTAACAGCTATTTAATAGCTATGTAATCTCGAGCACAACACTAAACCTTTTCGGGCTTCCTCTATAAAATTAGGCATTTTGCCTGGATAGCCAATGTTCCTTCCAAGATGTTACAATTCCTTTAATTTAAGGTAAACTAAACATACACACAAACTTATGGAGGGCAAATTTGATTTAAATGCACATGCCCATTAATACAGCAATTCACAATTCTACTTTTAAGATTCTATACCTCAGAAATATCCACACTAGTATAGTATATACAGTCGCATGCATAAGATGTTTATTAGTATTATATGTAACAGCAAAATAAAAATAAAAGCAATTTAAAATCCATCAATAGGGGAAAGGTTAAACTGCAGACATTTATATAACAGATTTAAAAAGGAATGAGGTAGATCCTTATGTGCTAATGTGGATAATGCCTATAAAATGGTGCTAATATGTTGCAAATATTTTGTTTTCTTGTCTATATAATAGGCTTGGGAACCAGATAGCCTAAATTCAAATATCTGCTCTATCGTTTCCTAATTCTTCATCACAGACAAGTTCTTCAATGTATGTAAACTTCAGTTTCCTCACCTGTTAAGTGGGGATAATTACAGAACCTACCTTGGGGTGTAATATTAACAATTAATCAAGTAAAACCTGTCAAGCATTAAGTGTTCAATACGTGTTAGGTATTATTTCCCGTTAAGCAAACTTTTGTGTTGTTGTTAACAGAGTCAAATCTATCACTCTTTTCCTGTATGACTACTCAATTTTAGCTTCCCTATCTGAAGTGATCCTAATACAAGAAATTTTTTTCCTCAAACGGATAGCTAATTCTTACCATTTATTATGCAATTCATGCTCTTGCCACTAATTTGAAATGTTACCTTTATCATAAGCCAAATTCCTATATATGTATAGGTCTATTTCTGGCCTCTAAACCAGAGGTCAGCAAACATTTTAGGTCAAATAGTAAATGTCACAACTAATCAACACTGCCTTTATGGCATAAAAGCAGCCACAAACAATATGTAAGTGAAAGAGCATAGCTGTGTTCCAAGGGACACTGAAATATGAACTTCATACAGTTTTCATTTGTCATAAAGTGTTATTTTCTCCCCCCCGACCCCCACAAGCATTTAAAAATGTAAAAGCCACTGTTAGGTTGCAGGTCATACTAAAATAGGTAGCCAGCCAGAACTGGCAATCCCTGCTCTAAACCCTTAAATTTCTTTTACTCTTCTAAAAAATTTTTATCCCTTTAAAGTTTCACAAAATAAATACATGTGATAAAAAGATATAAGGGCATACAGTAAAAAGTCTCCCTCTAACCCAGAGGCCCAGTTTCCTTCTCCAGTTTTTGTGTATCTTTCCAAAGCTAATGCCACTATATACTGAATTGCCTTAGTATAAATAACTTTGAACATTATTTCATCTATAGGATAAGTTCCTGGAAGTGGAACTGTTTTCTAAATTTTCTTATTCACTGTAACATGTAATTAGTTAGTATCCACAGCTTCTCCCTTGCTAAGTGCTCAATATAACTTTACTACTTCTTACCTTCCCAATCAACTTTAAAATCGCATTGAATTTTTGCTCCAGATTATTATAGACTTTAAAATTATGCCTACTCTGGTTTATGTATCCTTTCTTAACACTGCATTAAATTTCTTGGCTACGGTTATCAATGACTTGGGTTAAGAAATAAATTTTATTGTTTTCTTTGATCACTATTTCTTGAATTCTACATCTATTTCTCTTGGATTAATTTTTCATTTTGATATAGTACATCCTGGGTATTCCTAGTGGGTATAGGTGAAAATGGCTTTAGTTTGCCCCCAGTCTTAATGACAGTTTGACTAGACATAAGATTCTGAGTCCAAAATATGTCCCACAAACACTTTTTAAACACTGTTCTGTCATCTAACATTTCATATTCCAAATTGGAAATCTACTTGCAAGTCTGATTTCCATTCGTTTATAGATAACCATATATTTATTTTTGGAAGTTTATAAATTGTGTATTTATCCATGAAGTTCATAAGTTTCACCAGAATTCATCTAGGTATATCTCTATCAACATCCTTTTAAGACTCTCAGTATATCTATTCCATTCATAAACTCACATAATTCTGCTCAAAGAAATATCCCTGTTCTCTTGACACAATATTTTGTTTCCATTCTACTGAGAGGTGGAAATGGGAAATCTGGCATCTGTGAGTAGGTAGGGAAGGAGAGTGGTAAACAGGAGCTGTCAGCACATGTAACATATCTTCCCACAGTTCTCTGAAAAGGCAAACTTCCTGATCATCCCCACTGCACAGACGAAGAAACAAAAACCAGAGAGGGAAAGGTTGATCTATATTTGCCAGTACTCTGTCCCCTGATACTTATTTTTGTCTGGCTGAGGCTGCCCAAGACTTTGCCTTGATTTTCCTACCCTCAGGATCTCTGTTATCTCTGTGTTATCTCTGTTATCTCTATTCCCTCCTGGAATTCCTATTACACGTACATTGGCTCTTCTAGATCTACTTTCCATATCATGGTAATTCTACCTTACTTCCCATGTTTCAATATTCAAGAACTGATTGCTTTTTTTTGAGGCAGCCTATATGTGTTCAAAAGGCATGATACCCTACCAAATATGAGGATACTAATATTTAAGTTTTCTTCTATTTCTTATATGAACTCCATTGCTTCAGGGCCTAGTTCTTGTTTTGTTCAATATTGGCTTCTCTTACATGCTACTGATTTCATAAATGTTTAGTGATTTTTGTTGTCTGTTCACAGTATAAATATACTAGTATTTCAGTCCACGTGGAAATCACTACAGTCCTGCAGTAAATTCACATTTGTAACTAACCCTATAATTTCAATTTTACATTTATAACTAGTGCTTATGTAGCATGACAATAACAATGTAAGTTCTTTGACTTGTAATCCCATGATTCTTGAGTTCATTTTTAGTCATATCCTTTTGGTATTTCGTTTCCCCTAACAACCACTAACTTGAGCAACACAGTTCTTATGTAAGTGTTACACCAAACTTCAGAGTTAAACAAGTAACGACAGTCTCACAGAAGACTGTCCTAGATGTGCAATCCAAGGGGTAAATAATGTGGTAATGAATGAATCACTTGTCTTGAACTCATAATAGTTATGCTTTTTACCTACCTTTAATGTCATATTAGTTAAAATAACAAAATCTATTATATTAGAAAAAAGACTCCAGGTTAGTTAAAATGTAATTTTCTGCCTACCTTACGACTCAGTCATTCTACAGCTGACAGAAATGCATACAGATGCTCATCAAGACATTTACAAGAATGTTCACAGCATTTTTAATATTCAAAATACAGCATATACAAAAATTGGGAACACAAATGCTCATCAACAGAATAGTCACAGACCATACAATGGAATATTACACAGTATTAAAAAGAAAGAACTGCTGATACCATACCACGAAATATGGGTGAATCCCACAAGCAATATGCTGAGCATACTGTATGATTCCACTAATACGAAGCTCAAAACAGACAGAACTAAAACCTGATCAGAGAAATCAGAATACAGATTGGACAGCAGGGGTATAACTGACTTGGAAGAAGCAGAGGGAAACTCCTGGGATGACGGAAATGCTCCACAGCTATAATTTGATCTATCTGGTGGTCAAAGTAATATTGAGCTGTATGATTAAGATTTATGCACCTGTTGACTTCCTATGTATTTTATACATCAATAAAAAAGTTAAGAAAGAGAAAAATGTAATTTCCAAACTGGAACTAAAACTGTGCCTATGTAGGTCAAAATTCTCTGAGCCACACATATTGGAAACCCAACATCCTTTCTGCATTTTTTTTTTGTCGCATGACAGTTTTAAACAAACGCTAGCAGAATAACGATACAAGATGAATGTTAACATTCACAGTCATAAGCTACTTGGGTTCCCACTTCCCAGATCGAAGCTGGTGCTTTAATACAACATTAAAAAACATTCATTCCACCAGAAACGAAGGCCCAGCTCCTGCGAACCTCGGATGACGGTGAAATTTCACATCTCATCTGGACCTCAAAAGCGAGAGAGAAAACGCCTCCAAGTTTAACAAGTCAGGGGCTTAAGAAGCTTCAGATCATAGTCAAACTGTCATTCCGTCAATACCGTCATCACAAACAGAAGTACCACTACCGTGTTTTCTAAGTCACTGCTCAGCCACTTGTTCAGGAATAAAGCAATTTTCAAGGTGAATTCTCTGACAGCTGCCAGAGGCTCCCCGTCCCACCGTCTCCTCGGCCCCACACATTCCTCCACAAACGGGCATCTTTTAAAGGCGTCCGTTCTGGCGTCTGTCACATAAAAAGGGGCTGCCGTCAGAGAAGACTATTTTAAAGCAATAAAGACGGACTAAAAAGTTTATCCACCGACAGGAGGAGAAACGGTGGTGAGTTGGTTTAAAAAAAAAAAAAAAAAAAAACCACTGACACGCAAACCAACGGTCTCTGGCAGGACCTTTCTCAGAAAAAAACGCGGCTTTTCCCTAAAACCAGAGCGGACTCGAGGGCTCGTCCGTGAGGCGGCCCCATGGGGACGGGGCCCCCGGAGCGCGCATCCGCGGGGCGACCCCCCGGGGACACAGCTCCCGAGGGGGTCGTCCGCTAGGCTGCCCGCCCCCCGCGGCCCCCGCAGCCCCGGCCCCCGCACCGCCAGGGCCCGAGCCTGCGGTAGCCGCGGACGAGCGAGGCCGGTGGGCCGGGTACTCACCGCGCTTGCCCGCTCTGCGCACCGCGGCCGCCGCGCTGCCGCCTGCTCCCGGCCGCGGGCACACCCGGGCGGCGCCCCTTGGTGGGGCAGCCGCCGCCTCAGCCGCCCAGCCTCCCGGCGCGCAGGCGCGCCGAGAACGGCCACTTCCGGCGCGCGCGAGGAAATGAGGCGGCCGCGCGCCCCGCCCACTCCCGCCAGGTTCCGCCCACCCCGCGCGCGCCGGGTGCGCGGCGTAGGACGCCCCGAACCTGGCGTGTTACTGGCGTGTTCGTATCCTTTAACCACTTAATCTGTGAAAACGTGTACGTGTGTATCCCCAAAAACGATCTCTGGAGGCCGCAGCATGCCGAGGCTCCTGCCTGAGCCAGCGCCCACTGGAAGAGCCCGGCCGCAGGCTGGCGTTGGGGACACCCCTGCGGCGGGACCGGGCGAGGCGGCCGCGCGGGCCTGCCCGGAAGCCCTGTCCCCAGAGCCCGAGGGGCCGTGAGCGCCCGCGTGCGGACACGTGCGCCCCGCGCTCCCCGGCTCCGGGAACAGCGGAGAAAACCCAAACCCGGAGAGGAGGCCGCGGGGGTTCTTCCGGGTCGGACCTGGCATGAAATCCAAGCAGCAGGGTTAGGGGTAGTTGTCGCATATTTTAAACTGTGTGACTCCTCCATTGGACTTGGTTTTAAAGTACCTGAGGTTTCCCCGTCAATGGGCTTAAATTGTTAGCTTTTTATCATTTTTAAAAAATAGTTAAATACCGAATGTGTGCAGTTTTAATTTGGAGAGAAGATAATGTGTGATTCAAATTCTGTGTCAGATCTTGGGTGATATACCGAGGTTTATAAAATAAGTAGTTCCCAGCCGGCCCGGTGGCTCATGCCTGTAATCCTAGCACTCTGGGAGGCTGAGGCGGGAGGATCGCTTGAGCTCAGGAGTTGGAGATCAGCCTGAGCAAGAGCAAGACCCGTCTCTACTAAAAATAGAAAAAATTGGCCAGCCATGGTGGCGCGTGCCTTTAGTCCCAGCTACTTGGGAGGCTGAGGCAGGAGGATCGCTTGAGTCCAGGAGTTTGAGGTTGCTGTGAGCTAGGCTGAAGCCATGGCACTCTAGCCCAGGCAGCAGAGTGAGACTCTGTCTCAAAAAAAGAAAAAAAAAATTGCTTCCCTAAAGATTCTTTGGTCAAAGCTAATGAGCAATTTGGCAAATTTAAGCAGCAATGAACTAGACTCTTGTTCCTAGTTAAGGCCTCCCCTAGTTGGCTCCCCAAATCCTGCTCTCCCTCTTCTCGCTTATCCTTCTGACCTCTCTCCTTCCACACATTTGTCCACTCCTCCCTTTTCTCCCCTTGTCCAGATCCAACAACCCTCCTAAGACCTGAAAATGCCAGTTGCCTCTGTAAAGACCCATCCCTCCCATGACCCCTCTGCAGGCAACTGTAGAATTTAAGCCTTAGACCCAAGCTGAATTAAGAACCATAATTAAGGACTTCCCCAAACCCAGACAAGATCAGCAACTATTCATAGAATAATCAAGAATATTTTGAGGGCATGTGACCCAGGGTTACCTGACCTATATCAACTTGTACACATATTGATCAGAACCTCAAATGCTAAATCTTGAATGCCAAAAGCAAACTGGACTCACCAGGAAAGAGACCTCTAGGATTCCGCTGTCCACAATAAACCTGAGGCAAAGTCTCCTAAAAGCCATATCTAAAATATTTCCAATTAAAAGATTGGACCATAATTCAATCATGCAAACAGAAAAAAGACGAATCTGTAGGAGATTTTGGGGATAGGCGAGAAAATACATCTCAACATTTGGGAGTCTAGGAAGCAGCCCTTTCATCTCATTTTGTCAAGGAATTAAACCTAAAATTGGAGACTTAATTTGAAAACAGAAATTAGAGTGGGAAATAACCCCTTTACCTGAACTACATCATGTGGCAGACATTTTCCAGGGGATCCAGAACAAAAAGACAGGACCCAAATTAAACTTACGGCCCTGTGGATCGAACAGCTAGGTGCAGGCCCATTCCCCAACCAGGCAGCTACTGACAAGGACACTTGTGGCTATTGTAAACAGAAGGGGCACTGGAAGAGAAGATTGTCTCATCTTGGAAAACCAAGAGAAAAAGGAAAGGCCCTCACTTCAGATCAGTGAGGTGATCTGAGGAAGGGAAAAGCGCCAATATTCTGCAATACCTGTAAGCGCTCAAGGGGCATTAACATATGCCAGACAGTGTATTAGTTTCCCAGGGATGCTGTAACAAATTGCCACAAACTGTGTGAAATGAAACTATAGAAATTCTCTCACAATTCTGGATTCTAGAAATCTGAAATCAAGGTGTCAGGAGGGCCATGCTCATCTGAAGGCTCTAGGGGAGGATCCTTCCTGGCCTCTTCCTAGCTCCCGGTAGTTGACACAAGTCCTTGATATTCCATGGCTTGTCAATGTGTCACTCCAAACTCTGCCGTCTTCACACAGCGTTCTTGCCTGTGTCTTCCCTGCGTCCAAATTTCTCTCTTTTTCTAAGGATGAGAGTCATTGGGTTAGGACCCACCCTAGTCCAGCATGACCTAGTTTTAACTTGATTACATCTACAAAGACCCTATTTCCAAATAGAGTTAAATTCACGGGTTCCACGGGTGAGGACTCGAACATATGTTTTCGGGGGACACAATTCTGCTTATACAGATGGCAGCCTTATCAGTCTCTGGCACTAGGTACAGGCACTACTGTTTCTACATTAAACCCTGCCACCTGCACTCAACCTTTTCCTTGGTGTAAACACACAACACAGGTGGTAAGCCTTGCAAATAACCCACAGATTTCCTCCATTCCCCAGCCCTTAACTGCAAGCCTTGAGCCCTTGGCTGCAAACCTTTCCTTCCTGCTCTGTGATACCACCCCTGCAAGATGAATGGGGAGAGACTTACTTTTCAAATGGGACTGTAATAGTAAATGCAGACCAGAGCCTCTGGCACCGTTTGGGAGGCCCCTGAGCACTCCTCCACCTGTAAGCAAGCTGAGTCTGCTTTGGACAGACCGTGGCCTTCTCCATTACCTTTGACACGTGCTCCCCCAGATGAGGAGCATACGCTCTACCTGGCACTCCCATGGGCTCAAAATTCTACTGATATGGGGAAAGTGATTTAAAGATCCTACCTGCCAAACCATTAACCAGATCCCCCAACATCCCTCGAAGCCAGGGCCAGGGAAAGGATCACGACTACAGTTGAAAGCCTTATATCCAAAGGTCTCCTCACACTCTTGCGACACCCCATCCCGCCAGAAACCAAGCAGACAGAAATATCTATTTGTTCAAGACCCAAGAGATAACAGCAGAATTGTTTTCCCTCACTTCCAGGTAGTACCTGCCCCAAATGCCATCCTGCCTTTCATTCCACCAGAAGCCACCTGCTTCACTGCAGTGGCTCTTTGCTTGGCTTCTCTGAGTGTGCTTCTAGACTAGAGCAGTCAGTATTTTTTATTGCAGTAAAATATACACAACATAAAATTTACCATTTAAACCATTTAAAAATGTACAGATCAGGGTCATTAAGTATATTCACCTTGTTGTGCAACTATTGCCACCATCCATCTCCAGAAGTTTTCATCGTTCCAAGCTGAACCTCTGTACTCTCTAAACAACTCTTCATTCTCCCCTCTCTCAGCCCCAGCAACCTCCATTCTGCTTCCTGTCTCTATGAATGTGATACTGCAGATACCTCACATAAGTGGAATCGTACAGTATCTGTCCTTTTGTGACTGACTTATTTCACTTAGCATGATGTCTTCATGGTTCATCCATGTTGTGGTATGAGTCCAAATTTCCTTCCTTTTTAAGGCTGAATAAAGACAGTCAATACCTTTTTGCCTTCATCTGGGGAGGACAAAATACACTTGGACACTCCTGCCCTAGGGGGTCACGGAAAGCCCTGCTATTTTTCCCAGATCTTTCATCAAGACTTAAAAGATCTAAATTTCGCTATTCAGTTCTGATACAATATGTAATGATCTCCTACTTTGTTCAGAGAAAAAGGATTCTATTTACTTATTCTCAGCCTTAGCAGAAAAGGGACGTAAAGTTTCAAAAGATAAATGATAGTTTTTCTAAAACACAGTCCATTATTTAGGGAATGATATAACTAAGGCAGGAAAAACTCTTTCCTGCTAGAATGGAAACTATCTGTACCTATCCTAGACCCCTTGCAAAACAACAATTGAGAAGATTCCTGAGTTTAAATGGATACCGTAGAGAATGGGTGCCACATTTTTCTGAAATCGTGACATCTCTTTATGAATTGACTGAGTTCTCAGTAAGAGATTCTCTCCTCAGAGAACCGAGAAGTGAATAGGCTTTTTGGAACCTGCAGAAGGCTCCTCAATGGCTTCCTTCCCTAGACTTTTGTCACAGCAGAAAGCCTTTTCTCTCTGTGAGCGAGTGATCTGGACAAACTCTTGGAGTTTCATGGGAACCATCTAAACCCATCACTCACTGTAGCCTTACCTTTGACCTGAGTGCAAAGGTTATGCCCCTTCTCTTAGGGCATGCTATGGTTTGAATGTCCGCTCCAAATCCTGAGCTGAAACTTAATCCCCAATGTGGCGGTATTGAGAGGTGAGGCCTTTACGAAGTGACTGGATACGAGGGCTCTGCTCTCATGAATGGATTAATTCATCCGTGGATTAATGGGTTCTCGTGGGAGTGGGGCTGGTAGCTTTACAAGAAGAGAGACCTGAGCTTGCAGGCTCAGCCCCCTCGCTGTGTGATATCCTGTGCCACTTCAGGACACTGCAGAGTCCCCGCCAACAAGAATGCTCTTAGCAGACACGCCCCCTGGACCTTCCGTAACTGTAAGATGCGCCCCTTCTTAGCCTCCATAACTGTAATAAATAAATTTCTTCTCTTTAGAAATTACCCAGTGTCAGGTATTCAATGACAAGCAACAGAAAACGGACTAATACAGGCTACTAGCTCTGCTGCAGAATTTGTCGATGCTTCTGCTGAACCACTTCCAGGCTCCCCGCTCAAGCTTGTGCTTCGCAGTGCAACACGGACATCACCATGGA